CGCTCTCTCTTTCGCTCTCTCTCCTCGCTCGCTCGCTCTCTTTTTTCACTCTCTCGCTCTTTCTTTCTTTCTTTCTTTCTTTCTCTCTCTCTCTCTCTCTCTCTCTCTTTCTTTCTCTCTCTCCTCGCTCGCTCGCTCTCTTTTTTCACTCTCTCGCTCTTTCTTTCTTTCTTTCTGTCTCTCTTTCTCTTTCTCTCTTTCTCTCTCTTTCTCGCTCTTTCTTTTCTCTTTCTTTTCTCTCTCTCTCTCTTTCGCCCTCCCTCTCTCTCCCTCTCTTTCCCTCTCTCCTTTTCTTGCTCTCTCTTTTTCTCGCTCTCTTCCTTTCCCTTTCTCTTTCTCTCTCTCTCTCTTTTGCACTCTCTCTCTGTCTCGCTCTTTCGTCCTCTCTCGCTCTCTCGCTCTCTCGCTCCCTCGCTCCCTCGCTCTCTCGCTCTTTCTCGCTCTCTCTCTCTTTCGCTCTCTGTCTCTCTCTTTCGCTGTCTCTCTCTCTTTCTTGCTCTCTTTCGCGCCCTCGCGCTCTCTTTCGTGCCCTCGCGCTCTCGCCCTCGCTGGCTCGGTCTCTTTCATTCTTTCTCGCGCTCTCTCTTTCGCGCTCTCTCTTTTTCTCTCGCGCTCGCCCTCTCCCTTGCCCTCTCTCTCTCTCTCTCTCTCTCTCTCTATTTTGCCTTTTGCCCTCTCTCTCTCTCTTTCGCCTATTGCACTCTCTCTCTCTCTCTCTCTCTCGCGCGCGCCCTCTCTCTCTCTCGCGCGCCCTCTCTCTCTCGCCTTCTGTCTCTCGCACTCTCTTTCGCTGTATTTCGCCACCCCCTCGCCCTCTCTCTCGTCCCCTCTCTCTCTCTCTTTCGCCCTCTCTCTCTTTCACCCCCTCTCTCTCTTTCACCATCTGTCTCTCACACTCGCTTTGGCTCTTTCTTTTTTTCTCTTTCGCTCTCTCTTTTGTCCCCCCTCTCTCTCTTTCGCCCCCCCCCCCTTCACCCTCTCTCTCTCTCTCGCTTTTGCTCTCTTTCTTTTTCTCTCTTTCGCGGTCTCGCTTTCGCCCTCTCTCTCTCGCTTTTGCCCTCTCTCTCTCTCTCTCTCTCTCGCTTTTGCTCTGTCGCCCTCGCTGTCTCTGTCGTCCTCGCGCTCTCTCTCGCCCCCTCGCCCTCGCGCTCTCGCTCTCACGCTCTGTCTTCACTCTCCCCCTCAATGTCTTGCTTATTGTGCGTTTTTTGTGTTTCTTTGCTGCATTAATTCAACTTTTATCACTGTTCCTCAGGGTGTAGAAAAATACATAGTGGAAGATACAGCAGAAGCAAGAGCCAATCAAGAAAAGTACCCTCGGCCTTTACATATAATTGAAGGCCCCCTGATGAATGGAATGAAAGTTGTGGGGGAGTTATTTGGAACAGGAAAAATGTTTCTTCCACAGGTGAGACTGGAATAAGCCAGTTCATTATGTGAAGATTAAGGTATATTTGCATTGCCTTTTAATTTTACTTCTGTTTTGGTATTCAATCTTTAGGGAGTCAGCAGCTCAGTTGGCTAGACAGCTAATTTGCAATGTAGACTGATGCCAACAATGTGGGTTCAATTTCTGCTCTTGTTGAAGTTACCATGAAGGAGCCTTCTCAACTTCTTCCCATCCGTTAAGTGTGGTAACCCCCAGGATAAACCACCAGCAGTCATCTTTCTCTGAGAAAACAGCTGTTTAATCCACTCGGACTACTACGACTTTACCTTGTGCATAACAACACAGGAACAGGCCCTGATGCCATTCTAAACTAATTTCATCTGCCTGCACATGGTCCGTAACTCTCTATTTCTGTGTATTCGTTTATCTGTCTAACTGCCTCTTAAACTTTGCTAACGTATCTGCTTCTACCACCTCCCCTGGCAGTGTGTTCTAGGCACGTACCACCCTCTGTGTAAAGAAAATCTTTCCTCGCACATCTCCTTTAATCTTTCCCCTTCTTACCTTAAACCTGCAGCCCCTAGTATTTGACATTTCCACCCTGGGGAAAAGTCTCTGACTATCCATCCCATCCATGCCTGTCATAATTTTGTGTACTTCTAACAGCTTGCCCCATCAGCCTCCCATGCTGCATCGAAAACGATCCAAATTTGTCCACTGTGATAGCTAATACACTCCAATATAGGCAACATCCGAGTAACACCCTCTCCATAGCCTCCACATGTTTCCTAGAGTGTGACCAGCAGAACTGCATACGATATGCCAAATTTAGTCCAACTAAAGCCTAATACAACTGCAACCTGACTTACCAACTTTTATACTCAGTGCCCCAACTGATGATGGCAAATATGCTGTATGCCTTCTTTATTACATTATCCATTTTTGTTGCCACTTCCAGGGAGCAATGGACTTGGACCCCAAGATATCTCTATATATCAATGCTCCCAAAGATCCTGGTATTTACTGTATACTTTCCTCTTGCATTTGACCTCCCAAAATGCATTATCTTACACTTGTCTGGATTAAACTCCATCTGTCATTTCTGCGCCCAACTTTCCAACTAATCCATATTCTTTAATGATCTTCCTCACTATTCACAACTCCAACTTCCATGTCATCTGAAAAATTACAAATCCGACCACCTGCATTTTCATCCAAATCATTTATAAATTGCAAACAGCAAAGGACCCAGTACTGATCCTTGCAGAACAGAACAGGTCACAGATGTCCAGTCAGAAAAACACTCTCCACAGCCACCCTCTGTCTTTTTATGACCAAGCCAATTTTGTATTCAACTTGCCAACTCACCATGGATTCCATGTGATTCAATCTTCTGGACCAGTCTACCTTGAGGGACCGAAATTGACATCACATCCACAAACATCTACCCTCTCCACTACAGGCGCTCAGTAGCAGCAGTGTGTACTATCCACAAGATGCACTGCAAAAATTCATCAAAGATCCTCAGACAGCACATTCCGAGCCCATGACCACTTCCATCTAGAAGGACAAGGGTAGCCGGTATATGGGAACACTACCTGCAAGTTCCCCTCCATGCCACTCACCATCTTCACTTGGAAATATATCACCATTCCTTCACTATTTCTGGGGTCCAAATCCTGGAATTCCCCACCAAAGGGCATTGTGGGTCAACCCACAGCAGGTTCAGACTGCAGCAGTTGAAGAAGGCGTTTCATCACCACCTTCTCAAGGACAATTAGGGAAGGGCTATAAATGCTGGCCAGCCAGCGACGCCCACGTCCCATGAATGAATAATAATAGTAAATTCTTTAGTAAAGTCCATGCAGACAATATCCATTGCCCCACTGTCATCTATCATTTATGTCAGTTACTCAAAAATTCAATCCAGTTTTTTGACACAAGACCTCCCCTGCATTAAAACCATGCTGACTATCTCTATTAAGTTCATTAATCTCCAAATGCGTGTAAATTCTGTCCCTTGATATATTTTCCAATAATTTCCCCACCACTGATGTTAGGCTCACCGGCCTGTAATTTCCTGGATTATCCCAGTTGCCCTTCTTAAACAAAGAAACAACATTGGCTATTCGCCAGTTTTATGGGATCTTGCCTATGGCTAAAGAGGATACAAAGATTTCTGTCCGAGCAATCTTCCCGTTGCCGCCTTCAGTATCTTGGAGATAGATCCTATCTGGTAACATAGTTACCTTAATGTTTTTCAAGACACCCAACACCACCACCTCCTTAATGTTGACATGCTGTAGAATATCGACCTATCCCTCCCAATCTAACCATTATCCAGTGTTCTTCTTGGTAAATACCAATGCAATATACACATTAAGGACATCACTCACTTCCTGTGACTCCATGCATAAATTCCATCCTTTGTCCTTAAGCGGACCTCCCTTTTCCCTAGTTACCCTCTTACTTCTAATATATGTATAAAATGCATTGTAATTCTCCCTAACTAAGAGCATTTCATGGCCTCTCCTAGCCCTCCTAATTTCTTGTTTAAATTATTTTCTGCTTCCTTTATACCCCTCAAGGGCCTTGTTTGACTTCTGTTTCCTGAACTTTACATATGCTTCCTTTCTCTTTTTGACTGAACTTTCAGTATCACTTGTCAATATCACTAAGCGAGTCCTAATCAAATTGGGGCAGTTAAAATGACTCACAAAACAACCCTATTGTTTTAACATTTTACCATGATCTGCTTACATATCTGTTCCTCCAGATTCTGCTGGCTATTAGAAGGCCTGTGCATAACTCCATCGTAGTGATTGCACCTTTCTTATCCCTAAGTTCTACCTATATGGCCTCACTGGATGAGCCCTCCAAAATGTCCTCTCTTAGAACAGCTATAACATTCTCCTTAATCAGGAAGGCAAAATCCCCATGTCTTTTACACCTCTCTCTATTTCACCTGAAACTTCTAAACCCTGAGCTGTCAGCCCTGCCGTTCTCTCAACCACATCTCTATAATGGCATCCATTCTGTCATCCCATTTTAATGCAAGGCTGTAAGCTCATCTGCCTTGACGACTGTTATATTTCTTGCATTAAAATAAATACACTTTGGACCACGTTCTGCCATGTTCGTTAACCTGGCCTAGTCCTGCCATGTTCATTAACTTCTTTCTTTATTCACTCCTAGGGTGCAGATGTTATGCTTTGCATTTCTGAATTAGGGAAGGCAATCAATTAGATTTTAACCTATTCACTATTCAGTGAGTCATACTTGGAAGTATGAGTGGGTAGATGACAAGATCAAGCTTATTTATAATAATTATTCCATCAACAGTAACAATACAGCAAAGTACCAAAGGATGGCGGTGCCCATGGAATCAGTAGAAGCTTCTGCTTTTCGATGCAGAGATGACGGAATTATCAAAAACATCTTGTGGATGTGTGAACTTTGAACAGTTAGTTCTGAGTTTATTTAGATGCAATTTGATTTGCAAATATGAACATATGAATCAGGATAAAATCGTATTTAATCTGGTTTTGGCCTCTCCTTTACGGCCCTAACCTTTGGCTTCCTTGTTGGTCGGGAATCTATTTACCTGTGCCTTATAAATATTCGATGACTCTGCCTCCAGTGCTGTCTGGAGAAGAGTTTTCATTTTTCATTTTTATTTTTAATTTTATATTTGTGTCTAAATAGTTCATTTTTATTAAAAGTAGTGTAATAATTCTTGAGCAAGAGATTCTAAATTTCAAAGTCCAGCTGAAATTGATTGCAACATGAGCTCGTGCTGTAATTCAGATATTTCAGCTGGGCAAGATTTGATGATTTTGAAGTGTCCAATTTGAGTATTTTCACACATTTTTCAATGTTTTGTAAATCAGATTTATTTTATGTCATCAGGTTGTTAAATCTGCTCGAGTAATGAAGAAAGCTGTGAATTACCTTATCCCCTTCATGGAGAAGGAGAGAGAGGAAAGATTGGCGCAGTCAGGCCATTCAGAAGAAATGGTACGTTATTGCATATAGAACTGGGATTACAGGCTTGTATGGCCTCCTTTATTATTTTATTAGAAGGCCTGCTTTTAAATATCTTCCATCTGAATGTAGTACTGATTTTATTTTCTTAGAGTATTTTTCCAAAGTAAAATAGTGCAGGTGCTGGAAACTTGAAATAAAAACACAAACTGCTAGAAGTATGACCTAAATTATTGTCATGCGTTTAATGGTTTTGGCAGGGTGAGAGACACAGATCAGTGAGTGGTCCACTTGCTTGTGCCCATGCCATCTCAGCAAATCTAGTGTTAGGTGGCGAACTAGCAGCCATCTGGAGAGAAAGTGGCGAATTAACAGTGCAGAAGGGGACTACGTACCCAGTCAGGGTCATATCCATTAACTGTGTCACTCTCGCCATAGATGTTATCTGACCCACTGAATATTTCTAGCACTGTCGTCTTATACATTTTTTGAAACGTTACTTAACTTTGAAATACCAGTGAGTTCTACCTCCTTTCTCTGGTTAAGACATATGGCTGGTAACATGCTCACACCACTAGTACTGATAGTATGGGGTAGAAAAGGCATTTATGGATTTACTGAGGCAAAATGTTGCAACTTAAAAGGAAGCCATTCAATCCATCAGTTTGTACCCTCTGTTTTGATGAATGTTCCAGTTGGTTTCACTCTCCAGCTCTTTCTTCATATCCCTCCAGGTCTTTTTTCACTCTAGTTATTTGTCCAAATGTCCTTTGAAAGTTGCTGTGTTTAATGTTTCCACCATCCTAATAAGTAGTATATACCAATTACTAATCACTCATTTCCTTCTTTCTAATCACTATTGATCTGACATTTATAATTAATTATTTTGTGGTTCTGATTTATTTTTATGTGAAGCACTTAGTGATGTTTTAGAGATGTGAAAAGCTGTTTTGTAAAATCGATTTGAGTTTTATTTTCACCTTTTACTCTGTCTGACTGAGGATATTTTCTGCCTTGAGAATTACAGATTCAAAATGGGGTTTTTTTGTATTTTATTTACACCAGACACTGTGCTATTTATATATAACATTACCCATGTCTGTGAGGCCATAGCACAGTTATCACAGTTTGGATTAATAAGTCACTTGGCTTTAATGTTTCTTTAACTTCAAGCCGTGGGCTCAAGGGGTTGAATTAATTATTCCTCTTGCTAGATTCATACATATATTGATTTAAAACAGAGGCTAATTAATGTTCCTGGGGAGATATTAGATTAGTTAAAGAACCAGAAAATAAAAGCTGATGAGTAAAATACTGGAGGAATCCACAAGAATGGGAAAAATTAATGTCAACAGTTTCTTGAAGATATAATAATCACAACTAAATCTGGCAAGGAATTCGGGAAAACTTCTTTACTGAAAGAATTATGTCATTTTGTTTTTGCCTTTAAAAACTGTGGACTACAAGAAGTAAGAATCGTTTTTAGAAACGATGATTTTTCAGGAAGGCTGCATATTTTCACAGCAAAGAATTTGATATCTATTTTTTGGTGGCTATGGGTTCCTGCAATGTGTAGATGATCAGGAACTGAGGAGTTATTTACAAGTGAAGCTGATTTGGTTCTCAGATAACTGAGCAGTTAGAACTGGAAACAAGTTTGAGACACTGACGCAGAAAAATCAGAAGAGTGCGTTCTTCTCTTCAGTAGAAACTGCCTGTTCTGCCTGCCAGTTTGGAAAAAAGCTCAGTTTAAACGTGAAGGAAAAACCTTTCCTTCAGTTGTTGTGAGCTGTGACTTTTGAATGGATAAATCAGAGACATTATCCAAGTGAATCAGAGATGGTAGGAACTACCAATGCTGGAGTCTGAGATAACAAGGTGTGCAGCTGGATGAACACAACAGGCCAGGCAGCATCAGACGAGCAGGAAAGCTGACGTTTTGGGTCTGGGCCCTTTTTCAGAATTTCCAGTGGAAACTTCCAGAGAAAAATAGCTGAACACAAAGGGTATGGCTAGCCAAAATAGGATAATCTCAACTTTGAAATCAAGAAGCAAAGACACTGAACTCGCAGCATTTCTGAGCAGTCAACATTGATGTACTGAAGTGAAACCAGTTAAATACAAGAGTGAGAAAGGCATAGATGGTTATACGGATGGAATGAGTTAAGGTAAGGCGGTGGTATCTTGAGTGGAGCATAGATGTTTAATGTTTTAGCAAAGATCTGTAGCTTGGGGTGTGGCTGGAGTTGTTGGTGGGTTCGCCGAACTGACTGGTTTTTGTGCAAATGTTTTGTCCCTCTTCTAAGTGACATTTTCAGTGCTGTCTAGCCTCCGTTGAAGCGCTGTTGTTCTGTTCCATTCTGAATATATGCAGTCCGTTCTGTTATGGTGGGTAGTTCTGTTTCCAGTTTTGCTCTGTAGTGGTGTGTAGTTGGGATCTATTTCAACATGTTTGTTTATTGTACCAATGGTTGAAAACCAGGCTTCCAGGAATCCTTGGCTTTGTTTTACTTGTCCTAGTACTGTTACATTGTTCAGTTAAACTAATATCCTTCTTTGTTGGAGTGAATTGAAATGAGGGAGAGTTGGTCATGCCGTTTTGCTGTGAGTTGGTGTTCATGTATCCTGGTGACGAGTTTCCTGCCCATCTGTCTTATGTATTGCTTCTCGCAGTTGCTGCATAGAACATAGAACATTACAGCGCAGTACGGGCCCTTGGTATTTTGTATATCGCATTTGTCCTGCTCATTGCGGGTATGGGGT